TGCCAATGTTCCCATATTCCAATGTCTCCATATAAATCAAGGCCCTTTAAGTAGATTATATTTTGTATAATACTGTATATAGTTCTGTGTTCTTTATAGTGGTTAGGGTAGCCAGGTCAGCAGCATCCAATTTCTTGACATTCCATAGCCAAAACCAGGGGGCAAGCCCTTTTTATGTCACAGTATCAGAGGAAACATGTACAGTATTAGCCTCCCTGGGTGGGGATGTTCCAGGCTTTGTGTTGCTGGTGTCAGGATAGGAAAAACAAGAAGATATAGGAGTTATGATGCTGGTGCCCCACTCTCTGCCTTGATATAAATGGGACAATGTCAGCACATCCAAAAGGCAGGATTTAGGGTCGCATGTTAGATGGACATGTGCTTGAACTCTACATAATACGTATTTAAAGCAACAAAGAGCAGGAAGAATCCGTGTGAGAATAGATAAAGCTGAGTGCTCATTTTAAAAGCTTCCTCATACACAAAAATAAAACTTTCTCCTCCTCTAGCACCCATTGTGGACTGACCTTGAGCATAAGCAGAACATCTTACATTATCACATTATCTGTTACTCACAATTAGATACTATACAGCCATTTACTGTATGCAGCCCCTTCACAAAAACCAATAGGATTTTTGCCATTACATTGAAGTCAGGGCTACACATTAGAATCTTGGCAAACCCTCAGTCTCTGAGCCCGTTAGAATTCATTCTATGAACTTTCTTGCACAGATTCCAAGAAAGGCCACTACTGTATTCTGTTTGTGAATTAAATCTGGAAAACAATTTCAATTTTGATCTTTTTAAATATTTTGACACTAAAGGGACTTGACAATTATATAGAACTTTTTTTGGGGAACAATTACTGTCTTTGTGGGACAGCTTTTGTTTCTTACTAAATGAGCTTCCTAAAATTCTTTTTTATTTGTTTATGAATTTATATGCCACACTTCAACATCAGCTTGCAGGGAAGTTTATACATAAACTACAATAAGTAGTCACATCTACTCATGCAGTTCCCATCTTGGAGCTTTTCACTTACAGGTGCACTAGACCAAAAAGGTGTGCCCACACCCTTTGACCAGGTCCTTCTGTGGGTTATAAGTGACTTAGAGTCCTATAGAATTCAGCAGCTAAAGTATTTTTATGGGATGTCATTGCATAATCGCTGCAAGTGTTAAAAAACACAAAACATCCTGCCAAAAACACACTAGTAGGTACTAGCAATGCACTCGAGGATTCACTTTTCCAAAATATGATTGTCAAGGGAAATCAGCTCATGATTTCTGGGGCTTAGAATATTTTCCACTCCCCAAATATAGTGTTCAAAATTCCCCAAGCTGGCTATGGAATTTAAAGAGCACAAATTTTTAAAAAATGTTATCTGGTGATAGTTACTCCTTTGTGGCTTTGAATCCTGTTTTGATGTACGAAAGCACATTGGGAGCATTATAGTCTATTTTGAAGTTGATGGAAGGAGAACAAGCTAACTGCAGCACATTTTGTGATTTTTATTGAAAAACTAGGACTGCTAAATTAAATCCTGTTTAATAAATTATAGCTCTATCACAGCATGATCTCATAACTGGTTTATTCCGTGTCACGAAGTCACATGAGTGTAACAATGGTTCCTTGGCAACAATGACAACAGATGCTGCCCAATCAAGGCTCTCCTTGTAAATCCTTCATTTGCATACTGTTGCCTATAACTGACAGGCTCACCAAGTCCTCAGGACAGTTGAAGACTGGAGCTTGATAAGAACAGATCGCATCAGAACAATGGCAGCCAAACAGCAAGGAAAAAGAAAGGTTGGAGCTTTCAAGAGAAAGCAGCTCCAGAAGAAGTATAAGCATGCCAGAAAAGGACAAAAGCAATCCCAGTCTTTCAAACACAAGAAGCTCCAGTCTTGTCTTCAGCATGGCATCAAGCAGGAAAATACAACCAGCACTGTCAGTAGCAAGGTGGTGAGAATCCGTTCGCCGAAGCTCTTTGCGTCTAAGATGGTGCGGAAGGTGCTGAAGACCTACATTGAGGTCAAAACCAGGGGCTTGGTAAAGGCCTTGTTAATGGATGTGTACAACCATGTGGCAACCGAAGCAGAGACCCTGAGTCAGAAGAGCCATCCTTCCCCCATCAGCAGCACTGATGTTCAGGCTGCCTTGAAGGACGCCATGGCGAAAGAGTTGGCCAACCACTCCTTGGAGCCCATCAGTGGGGAATGTGCTTAAAGAAACATCCCTCCCCTTCTCCCTGGACGCATTCCAGTAGGGACGAGAGTGGAGAAGAGCGATGGTTACCTTAAGAAAATCCTAGTAAAAACAGAAGACTTTAAAATATTTTGCTGCCTTAATAAGTCCAAGAAATCCTGTAACTCTACTACTTTCTGAAATTCACCTTCAAGAATCTTCATTACGAAAACAACTGCCATTTGATGAAGAACTGTCATCCCGTCAGCTTACTCTGAGCCCATGAGCGAGGGAGAGAGCCACTTTGTAGTGGATCAAAAGAAAATCTAATGGCCTGAGTAGCTAGACGTTTTCTGTTGCTCTAAATCTGAATCGTCAGAAGTTCAGGAAGCGGAACAGCCAGAATGAAGAGAATATTATTTGTTTTCGAGGTGGTTTCTGAAAGAACAAGAAACATTATATAATATTGTTCTTCCAATAAAACAGGATTTTAGCAGCCTTATTTACTGGTGTAGATGTGATGTTTTTAATCCTGGGGATTGGGACTGCATGGTTCGTTATTGCAAACATACCTCTTTGAACAAAGGTATCAGTGGAAATGGCTTGAGCATGAATCAGACATCTGAAGTTCTAGTTTCACCTTCAGATTTTAATGCCCATTAAGAGATGTGTAATTGGCATAAATTAGAAAGATGCAACTCTTGTTTCTTTTGTTCATATGGAAAATGGATGGGCTGGGAACTGAAGTTTCGCTTTGTGGCCTGCCCCAAGGGTTCAGGGTCTTCCAAGATTCAGCAGTTCCTCCTCCTCGTTAGGTATTGGGTGTGTGTGTTTCTGATTCATCCAGTGGGACCAGCAGTTCCTCCTCCTCGTTAGGTATTGGGGGTGTGTGTTTCTGATTCATCAACATTAATAAGATTCATCCAGTGGGACAATGACAGGAGGGCACCAAACATGTTGTAGATAATGTACATATAAAATACAGTATACAAATGAAATCATCGGTGCTGCCTAGAAAATTTATTCATCATCTATGGAACTGTTTTAATTTTTCAGTGAAATCAACTGTAGATGAACCGGTAGTCCTAGATCAGTTCTAAGTCATCATCAGGTTGCCTGGTAACAGTGGAATTTCTCCATGGAATGGAGCATATCATAAACAGATCTTTATGATGTGCTAATCTGGAGTTGTCTTCCAATCCATTGCAGAGTTTAGAGGCAGTTCCATCTTTTGAATGCCTGGGCCAGGAGAGCACCATGTAGCTCTTTCCCTTCTGGATGAGGCTGGACTTCAACATTTATCAGTCCCAGCCTGCATGGCTAGAGGTTAAGAATGATAGGAGCTGTGGTCAGGGATAGGAGATGACAGAGATGATAGGAGGGACAGAGATTTTCACTTTAATGGTGCAGGTTTCAAACGGGCCTATTAAAAAGGGGACATGACAAGTGGCCTGATCATGACAACGTAATTGTTCCCCCCCTTGAGGAAAAAGAAAGGGCAAGCAGAAAAATATATATGAACACGAGGGTGCCTTCACACAAAGAAAGGGCAGCGTTTATTCCCAGTCAGTTATATATACAGTCTCTAAAATGGCTTATCTCAGAAATCTCAAAAGCAGCAGAGTTTTGTTCATGAATTTAATTTTTCATCAAACATGCTCAAGGGTCTTTCTCAGAACTGGAGCAATGAGACACCACCTTCAATAAAGCCAGCTTGGTTCTCAGACTGATTGATTGCGTCTAAGGATGTGGTTTGTTGCTCACGCTTCCTCCTATGGTGGTTCTCTGCAGTGGAGATTCACCTGCATATACCTAAATTTCTCTATGGAAAGGAAGTTTCTTCAGAATATGGCATTTTTATACCTCTTTCTTGCCAGATTAGGATTACACATGGAAGAAACAGCTGAATGGCACCAGAGGGTCCTTTTTTTGAGTGAACACTGCTAGTTTGTTTTTTTGTTTTTTTGTCTTTTTTTAATTTGATGCAAACCCTGCTGGATCAGACCAAAAGCATGGCAAGATAGCAAAACTATAGAGTTGTAGTTCCTAAAAAGGTGATTTGTTTCCATATGAGTTTTCATGGATCATACAATCCAACTGCGTCCGAGAAAGTGGATTGTGATCCACAGAAACTCGTGTTGAAATAAACGGATTAGTCAATTGCATGACTTTATTTTTGCTGTTTATGATGAAGCACACTTAACATGGCTGTCTCATTGGAAGCTCTACAAAAGGTCCATTTTGTGCCCAAGCAGCTTCTTTGGCAATTCTACCCGTCAGTACTGCAAGACCCTAATTTTCCATAGGTAACTCTCAGCTGCCATTTTATGAATGCCAAGCAGTCAAGAAGTTAGCATTTATGTTGCTAAACGATAGGGATTTTATGGAAAGCAAAACTTCCACAGAACGTGAGCTGTTCCTGTGCTCTTTTCTCCCTCAGTGCTAAGGCTGAGATCCCTAGCACAGATGAGAAGTGCGGAGGTCTGTTATGTTTTCATGATCTCTTTAGATGTAGAAAAATCACAGGATGATGGGACAATGGTACTTGTTTATTTTCTTTCAAACTTTCTGGAATAATGATGGTAGTGGAAGCTGTTGCGACTTTATTTCTATTGCAAATTATAAGTGGAATATGTAGCACAAAATAGCAAGAGTAACATCCGTGTGTGTGTGTGCCAAACTTCATACCTAGATTACTGAAAGGTAAAGTAAGTCATAATTAGGTTAGCATAACAAAGGTTCCATGGCTACAGGGCAGGCAAGGCCACCCAATCAGCAGTCCCTATGCAGCTCCTTCATTTGCATGCATTGTCTATAACTGAGTGTGCCGGGCCAAAGCCGGGTGCCATTTGAGTCCAGGGCTTCAGCGGAAAGGGAAGAACCATGGCTGCTCACCAGCAAAGCAGAAGGAAAGCCAGGGAGGCAAAAAGAAAGAAGGCCCAGAAGAAGCACCAACAAGCCAGGCGGAAGCAGAAGAAACTGCAGCCCCAGAAGCAGAAGAAGCCGCGCCAGGCGCGTCCTAAGCACAAGGGCCGCCAGAGCAAGGCCGGCGGCAGCGGTGGGGAGCAGGAGAGGAAGGTCTGCCGCCCGCGGCTCTTTGCCTCCAGGATCCTGCGGCAGATGCCCAAGGTGCGGATGGAGGCCAAGGCCAGGAACCTGGTGAAGACCATGCTGACGGACGTCTACAACCACGTGGCCACCGAGGTGGAGACCCTGAGCCAGAAGAACGAGGCCTCCGCCATCAGCAGCTCCGATGTGCAGACCGCCTTGAAAGAAGCCATGAGCAAGGAGCTGGCCAAGCACACGGCCGAGCCGCCCACCAGCGGGGAGTGCGCTTAGAGGAGATCCCTTCCTCTCCCTTCCCTTCTCTGCCAGGGGGGACAAGAAGGGAGAGGACCCAGCGCCTTCCCCCAGGAAGGAAACTAATAATAATCAAAAACAAGAGACTTTAAAATATTTTGCTGCCTCAAAATATCTATGAAATCCTGTATTCTACCACTTTCACCTTGAAAGATCATGACAGATGAATCATTCTATACCCGTGATATTCCAAAGGACCACCATCCGATTTGTTCCTCTGTGAAATACCACCGAGCAGTGAAAGGGAACTATGGCAATGGGAACCAGAACCAGCAGAAGCAAAATGAACAGTTAAATTGATAAAATACATGAATTTTATTATTCATAAGGTGACACCTGGAAACAAAGGAACTACAACAGGATTTTAGCAGCTTTATCCACTTCTTCCAATAAATCTGGACTTTTATCAGCTTTATTCAAATCTATCTGCGTTTTTTTAAAAAACTATAATCTAGGGAACTGCAGCGGAGTACTTAAAAATCTATATAAAATGTTTTATAATCCAGACACCCACTATTTAAATGAGGTCAAAGAAGGTTTAAAATACAGTACCACATAAAATACAAAAGATTATTCTTTTGTTTAGCCATCGCATAAAGATGGATCAATGTAATAGATTAGTAAGCAGAGGAAGACCGCCACGATCCCTGGTGACGTCAAAATGGCTTTTCGAATAGATTATGCATTTTTTTTATATATTCCCGGCCCTTCAGAATTTCAGAGTGGATTGTCTTAATAAGCAGGCTTCTCTGTGATTGGCTGCATGTTGCTCCTGTTACTCAGCCCACCAATCAGAGGCCTTCTGGTTGCCGAATTCATTTCCGTGTTTCTAGAAATAACTGAATTTCGCGCGTGGTTCCATCCTCGAGGAGTTCGTGCGCCGGGCGTGATCGAGGGGAGGGGGCCGTGTAAGATCTTAAGGAAAGCACGGGGCCTGTTCGAGGATCCTTAAAAAAAATTCTTCGTGGCTCTTGAAAGAGCAGCAGCAGTTATTCGAATGAGCCAGTTGCTCCATATTATTATTTTTTTTAAATTAGCTCCGAAGAAGCCAGGTGTCGGCTAATCAGCCCCGTTAATCGATGACTGTCATTTACCCCCTTCATTTTTTTAAAAAAGTTTTAGCAATAGCTGCCTCTGTTTTAGCACACGATACCGGAAGGGGAACACGGGGGGGGGGTTTGGTCTTCTCGCTCAACTCCAATGTGTTCCAATTGTCATTGAAGGTTTTGTCGCGTCATGTTTATTATCTCACATAAACGGGTTTCCAATTATTGATTTCTATGTTTTTTTTTTAAATTAAACTAGTTCTGGGTCAAAGGCAAGCCAAAACACGAAGGCAACTTTGCACGTTAAGGAGTCAGGTTGCCTGCATGCCTTGACGTGTAGATCCCACTGATCATAATATAATAGCCTTGTTTCTTGGTAGACTTAATAGGAGAAGACTGGAGTGTAAAGGATTTTCTTAGGTGTTGATGCTTGTTGTTCCTTCCGTTAGTTCAGTTTCAAATCGTTCAGAGGGTATTTTCTGGTTCAGGGAACGGACCCTCGGCGTCACGCAGTGTTTTCACTATTGAGAATGACGTTGTGGTGAGAATATTTCCCGTACAGTTTGTTACTAAGAAATACAGCGTTGAGTCATGTGGCAGCAAGTTTTAGGATTTTAGTTTTTTAAGAAACTTTATGCTTTGACATTTCCTTTTTTTAAATTTTAGTCAATTCTATCCGTTTAACGAACTTCCAAAAACGTGCATAGTCCGCCAATTGACTATAGACCAGCTAAAGGAAAGCTGTTGAGCAAGTTCCCTGGTGGTCTAGTGGTTAGGATTCGGCGCTCTCACCGCCGCGGCCCGGGTTCGATTCCCGGTCAGGGAAGCTAATGTTTTAGAAAAAAAACTCAGAATTCCCAATTTTAAGTTCAGCTGACACTCTTTTTCAGCGAGTTTGCTTTCAGAATTTTTTGGTTGAATTTTTACTTTCCAAAATAGTTTAAAAAACCCAGAAAGATTCAAGTTTGAAAAGCTATGTCTACACAATATCAATGTATTTTAATATGGTTTTCACACTATATTTCCTCATTGCATATATGTGTTTTAACTTCAAATTTATTATTATTAGGACCACTGGTGAGACGTGGTAGATATGCAAGACTGAAATGCAAGAATGAAGTATATGATATTGCAGACAAAAACAAAAAAATTAAAAATGAAAGAACAAATAAAAAGGATCAAAACAAATCAGACTGAAATTCAGATTATAATTGTGAGTTCCTAATCTAGTGCCTGCAGTGGTTTTGTTGTAGGGGGGTAGCCCTGTTAGTCTGTGCAAGCATTATAAGTGAAAACAAAATAAAAAGAAAACAAAAAGAAAAACGTGGTGGCATCTTAAAGACTAACTTATATATTTTTTAATGTGAGCTTTTGTGGACAAGTCCACTTTAGACATAAGAGGAGATATAACATGGCAAATGTTTATACGTGGCAACGAAATATAGTTATCAAAATACAGAGATCGTGGTTGGTTGGTAAGAAAGTTAGTGTTACATTATGATGATAGTGTCTTTCATATGTAGGGCTTTCATAGAAGCTTTGTGCTGTAGTGTAAAGAATATTAATTTATGACAGAGGTTCTTAGATTTCACACTGCATCCTCATGCTATTTCCCAGTGGTACCCAACCTTTTCCAAACTGTGGACTGGTTTAGCGTGCATGTGAGGGGGGCGTTATCGTTTGTGTGTGGCACGGCAGGGAATCTGTGCATGCGTGTGGGTGGCCGTGTGTGGGCATGTGTGCTTGGGGGTGGTGCATGCGGGGGTGGGGGCGGCAGGCAGCAGATCTGCCTCTGTGGCCCGGTTCTGCCAAGGCCATGACCCGGTTTTTGGGACCCCGGCTATTTCCTTCAGCCGTGTACTAATTTTTTTTTTTTGCTCTTTCTGAAAGCATACAGTCTTAGCACTGTATTACAGAACAAGTCATACCTATAATCCAGTGCAACACTGTTAGATATTTTGAATTATTCTGGGTTAAAGTTCTTTTTTGGAAATGTCAAATGTTTTGAATATAGTTCCCAAATTCTTCTGCCATGGTGTTTAGGGATTCTTAGAACTGTAATGGAGAGGATTTTTTTGGAAGTTTTAGGCTGTTTTAACTAACCAAAGCATCTTTTTAAAGTTCATTTTTCCCATTGTGTTTGATTCCTGAACACTGCTTGCTAAATGAAAAGCTATTTATTTCTTTTGCTGCTCTCAGCCCTGATATTATTGACATATCCAGCCAGCCATGGCGTTTGGCAGTATGTTCTCCAGCAAAATGGATTCTGCCCTCTGGCATCCTGAGAGTCTCACTGTATTTGGGCATCTGGTGGACGGCTGCCAAGTCATCCATTATGATATTCACGACATCCTCATCGCTGAGGGCCAGGAAGAAACGAGAGTCATCCCCTTGGACGTAGGAAGCCAAGACGACACCAACGCCACCAGTGAAGTTTTGGGCAAGGTAGTAGATGAATCGGGATGGGCGATCCGTTGTGGATTTCCCACCATAAATACCATCCCGTTCCCAGAACTTCTGTCTGCAAGCAAGGAAGATCTTGGTGGCACTCCTGTAATGGGTGGACCTCAGGGCATCTGTTTTGTTAGGCGAAAGAGGTGGATCAAAATAGATGCGTCGCGTGGCCCTGGTTGTGGAGGTGACAATGGCATAATCGGCCATCACACTTGATACCGTTTCCCCTGGGGTCCGATAAATCACATTGACTCTGTGGGCGTTCTGCTCTATCCTAATGACTCTGGCATTAAAATTTACCAGTCCTGGGATTGTACTGTAAATGGCTCTGGGCAGCTGATCCATGCCTCCCACAATTTCATCAAACCTGCGAGGCAAAAACAGGCTTCAGTGAATGGACAGAGTCTGAAAATAACAGCAGCACAACATAACAACAGGGGAAATAATGGCACAAGGTAAAACAGCGGTGGCATACAGCGGTGCAGTGGTGAATTTTTAAGTGCAGATACTCATCCTGAGAGTCCCCATAGCCACATGCTCCACTCTTAGAAAATCCCAAAATGGAGGTGTCTGCGCTGATCTATATGAACAAACCATTTCTAGAAGTTCCAGTAATAAGATTACCAGATTTATTTCAATGTTACTTCATTATACAAAGAGATTTTTTTTCACTTCCTCTGACCCTTTACTGAGGAGCACTGAAAGAAATTTCTCAATAGTTTAAAGCGGCTCGCTTATTAAGCCTCTTCATGATATTCGTAAATTCAAACCAGAAAGCATAGATTCTAATTATCACATCCACTGCAACTGATCCTACCTGCGCCAAAAAGGTAGAAGCCCCAATCAGGTGCTCAGAGTGGTACAGACAGGTACAGTACAGATTGCTATCTTTAGGAGCAAACCAATCTGTTTCTGCAGTGGACCAAACAGCAGGCTTAAAAGCCCATGTAGTCAGCCCCTTATTTCATTGAACTACAGTTCCCAGAATTCCTCAGCTAGTTGTAGTCCAATAAAGCAACTCCCAGGCTCTGGGTTTCATCTGGTACTGAAAGTTGGTCTGTGCAGGTGGGTAGGGGGTGTATCTTGCTTGGTCCTGCTCCTGTCCCTTGAACAGAAATTCCATATGATTTTATTAATATTACTTACTACATTTCTTTCCTCTGCTACGTAGTCCTCAAGTTAGCTTACAGTGATGATAAAATATATTGAAAACAACTACAAAAACAAACTCAGTAACAGAATCAATAACGATCAAATCAACCCAGACACAACCATAAAAACCATTAAAATCAGTGAAGGCTATAAACAGTTAATATCATCACAACAAAAGGAACGTCATCATTACTTAATGCAAAAAGAACTGTTTCCACACTGATGGTTTTTGCAGGTTTTTCAGGCTGTTTGGCCGTGTTCTGGAGGTTTTTCTTCCATCCTTTTTCCACATCCTTCCTAAAAGCAGCCAGGCTGGAAACTGATCATGACTTGGGTGGTGGTGGTGGTGGTGGGGTACCTTTCATAGTCTAGGAGCCCTGGAGCTTCCCATAGTGTGAAACTAAACTTGATTTTCTGCTAGCTGCTGCAAGTCAAACTGCGCAGCTATAGGGACCAACTCAAACGTGGACAGTGGGAGTTGTACCAGTTAAGTGGTACAGCCTCCCTCCAAAGAACTGTGGATGTTTTGCCTTTCTATTAGGGATATTCCCTTTCTCTCTCAATCTGCAATTCCCAGGGCTCTCTGGGGAGAGGAAGTGATAATTAAATATATACACCTTGTAGATATCATTAAGATGGGGGAAAAAAATCTCAAATTGCATGTGAATATGGCAGCAGTGTTATAGACAGGTTACAGCATCACAGAAGAATGAAACAGCGCCACTTGTCATTCCTGTCCCCTACCCACACTGTGCTTCTGTTCCACAAAGGCCAGCTTTCAGATCAGCCCATCTCCGGCTCAGAGATGGTCAGCATAACCGTGTCTTCCAAATTTCTTCAGCGATCACCTAACACAAATTCCATGAGAACCGCTGCCTTGCCTTTATATTACTTTAATTATTTTAGTTGAATCTGTTCTGTATATGTGTTTAATTTTGATTGTATTATTGTTATGTTTGCTGTTTTAAATTGTTGTTTTATGATGTTATATTTGTTTAACGTTTTAAGCCACCTAGAATGGCCTTGGCAGAGAGATGGGCAGTATAAAAGTCACATAAATAAATAGTGTGTGATTTCTACGTTGGTAATATATTATTTTGAGTATTATTTTCAGTACAATATATGCTGTAGAATACCATTTTCTGTGAACCTTGGGGCTCAAAATGAGTCCCATGACCCTGGAGTGGAAGGACAGGTGCCACTGTGTCCACCCCTCCTTTTGGCCATTATCCCCTCCTCCCTTGCCATGGCTGCCGATAGTTTGTGGGGGCAAGGTTACAGTAGCTCTCCTGTCAGCATATAGGGAGGGTGAGCATGATTCTTCACTAGAAATGAGGTTATTCATATTCGTATACAAATACGAATATCCCCACACAGGTGGAAATAACTGTCCACTCACGATTTCACCACTGACGTGAGCTCATTGGACCTTCCTATCACGTCGTCGTCCACAATCTATCATGCCGTTGTCCGCAATCGATTACCCCTTGGCAGGAAGTGGGATGACAAGCCTCTTTGCTAGGTCAGAGAGTTGTTAATGTATTGCGGAGAACAGCATGCTAGGAAGTTTCCGTGGAGCTGGCAGAAGCAGCAAAATCGTGACTGGACAGTCTGGCCCGAATGGGCTGGGCCCTCGTTATTTCCACCTGTGTGAGGATATTCGTATTTGTATACGAATACCCCCATCTCTATTCTTCACCAATCCATGCCTGTGACACTCATGTTTTTGGCTGTTGACTTCCCAGGAGCCATCTGGCTGTATACTTTTGAGTCGTATTTGTATACGAATACCCCATCTCTATTCTTCACCACTCCATGCCTGTGGCACTCATGTTTTTGGCTGTTGACTTCTCAGGAGCCATCTGGCTGTATACTTTTCATGTTCTGTAATTCTGCTGAGTCCATTGTAAAGAGGCTGAACATATATTCTTACAGAGGGGGAAACGGGTCAAAGAACCATCCGTCTCCAAGAAAAGTAGATTCTCTTTCAACCTGGATGAGTCACACTAGTTCACAGACGTGTACTTTTTTGCTTACCTTGACAAGAAGATATCATAATATCCCATGCTCTCAAGAAAAGACAAGTAATATCCCGAATCTTCGTTTAATATGTCTCCAATCATCTGGACAGCTCCACGACTCAGGTTTGCTACCTTGATTAAATATTGCTGTCGGGGGGAAAGAATTCCAGAGATCATGCACAATAAATGGCACAAGTTCACGGCACACAAAGAGATCAAATAATTACACTGATGATTTGGCCAAGGAAATACCAGATTTGGTATCTAATATACTGTGCAGGATACTGAAATTCTCATCTTTGCTTATTAAAAATATGATTTTTTCAAAAAGAAGGAAGGGTTGGCTCCTAAGCCATGCTTTACTCAGAGCTTGAAAAGCTTGCTTTTGGGAACTACAGGTCCCAGAATGCCTCAGCCTCAATAGCCAGTGGAGGAATCTGGGAGGTATCACACACACCCTCCCTCAAATGACTATAATCATATCTTAACCGGTTCCCATCATCTTCCTATATTCTGAATTGGGCAGAATCTGGGAGGTGTCATCTCCAAAATGGCCATAATCAAACTTGTGCCAATGCAGTTAAAAATGCATGAATCTCTTTGTGAAGAAGCCCTATTCTAAACCAATTCCTCTCATCTTCCTAGGCTCTGGAGTGTGGGATCACCTTTCCTCTGGGACATCCCTGCAGCTTGTATGCAGAATCAGCTGGATGGACAGAAGGTCTGGAAGTCGTTCTCAGTAGTGACTGGCTACTGTGGCCCATAGCAGAAAGAAGCCCTTCTACCTCAAGGATTGCATTCTGTGAGAACTTCTTCAAACCTGTCTATGTATAATTCTGTTTTGAGCCAAGGTGCATCTCAGGATCAGGTGCTGTCCTGTAAGGTCTAAGGATGGATCTGTCTGGAGCCTTCATCTCTGGAGGCTGTCTACCCTCTTTTAGGGGTACACTATGTGTGGTGGGGAGGACAAAGATGGGGAACACTTTCCAGCCCACAACAAGATTGCCTCCTCTGACCAATTTACCAAGCCAGTTAATACTAGAGGAAGGTGCTGCCTTTTAGCCCTGTTGCTCCCTAATGTCTTGTGGAGCCTCTCTTCATCTCCCTTGCTATTTATTGTTTTCTCTGTGCCTTTCTTGGTGAGGCAATATGCTTTCTCGTATCTCTCGTCGCTCCATTGGCATTGTATGGCCAGCACCAAGTTCGGTCTTAATTTTTAAACCTCATTTTCCCCTTCATGCCCTCAGTGCTGAACAGCTCTTGTGGGTCACTACTAATTTTCTTCCCCACCTTTTGCCTTCCTCCCTTTCATACCCTGGCTTTTTCTTGTGGTGCTCCTCGTTCCCCTCCTTGACATTTGCAAGGTTCAGGTCACGGGAAAAGACTGAATATGTGAGGTGGGGAGTAATGATGTATTCATTATATTTTAATCATAACTAGAGTGCATGAATACTTTTCCCCCCCCCAGATGATTTCATGAAATGGGTGCTTATGCTTCAGGAAGCTTTCAGATTACCTTGGTTGAGTAGGTGTCATATTTAGCCAGAATGTAGCTACAGTTTGTCCTGCTCAATTCATCTTCAACCTGGGATTCAGAGTTCAGCAAAATGAAAGGTAACATAACCAGAAAACAGAAGGTATCAGGTTAAAAGAATATAATGTACAAAATAACAGAAAAAAGATAAAAATAAAAAATAAAGGAAAGGAAAGGAAAGGAAAAGATTGAAAGAAAAATAAACGTCAAACAGGATAAGGGAAGTGGGAATGCCTGAGTGATTATTGTAGTCCACTGTAGACCAATACAATAGGACCCCCTTATCCACGGATTCAGTATGCACTAATTCCATGGGTTCTAAGGCATTTCACAGTCTGAAAATATTAAAAATATTAAAAGAAAAAACACCAGAAAAGTATTTTCATATGTAGTACCAGAACTGGCTAGTAGAGGGAGCAAGAGACCTTTCTATGAATACATGTTAGTGAAGTATAGCATGATGTCTGATGCCCTCTTGTAGTCAGTTGTGGTAATGCATATGAAAATATTTCTTTCTTTCTTTCTTTCTTTCTTTCTTTCTTTCTTTCTTTCTTTCT